TTCTAGTTGTTTTACTCTTAAATGTAAACATTAAACGCAGCAGACTAATTCTCAAAGAAAATAGTAGCAGTTTATAAAATGTTGAAACTTTAAAATAATACTACAACAAAATTTACACGAAGTCTAAAATCAATGTACATTCTGTAATATATATATGTTAAAATATCACATTTATTGTTTATAAAATTAAAATTAAACACAGAATACGTGTTAATTTTATCATATAATTTTGCAATCATATTAACGGCAGAAATGAGAGAACGTTGGTATATTAAAGAGGATGAACCGATACAACAAAGAATTTGGACGACAATAAAGGAACTCCGAATTTTCAACGTCTCGAAATATCTAAGAGTTCTTGCGAACTGCTTTCATGTAATTGAATTTCGTACGTGCTCGTGACATTACGGATTAATCCTTTTATTTTGTGTATTCGTGCTGAGAATCACAGAATGGAGGCGCCATAATGGAGGCATTTAAATTGCAACGAGACTTGGTACAAATTATTTTTATAATCTAAACAAATCTACAAATAGTGGTAAATTTTGAAAAAAAATCACAAAAAGTAAGTTAAAAAAGTATACCAATCATACATCAATTTTTTTTAATTTTTAACAAAATAATATTCAAAAATATAGAAAATATTACAAAGCTAAAAATGTTTCAAAAAAATTGCAACAAAAAATAGTAGAAAAAGTTATTGATTATTCTATCCTCTCCAATCGCATCACAAGTTCCTGTTCACATAAAAACATATTGATAATGAAAAAAAAATATCAAAATGCATCATGCAGAATAACAATGCTCGGGCAACTCATCTATTTCGTTTTTACGAATTTCAAAACTTAATCAGTCGCATGCAGAAAGTTCCCACAAAATTCAACGGCCGCACTCTTTCTTCAGCTATCTCCTTGAATATCACCTTATCGTCCTTCAAATAATCCCGACAATCTTTCAAACTTTTTATCGCGATTCTTTCTCAGTGACACCGACAAATCGCCAGACATCTCTTCAGCCGGAATAAAATCCTGGCGCGATTTTGAAGTCTTTGACAAGGACTCCTCGTACTATGGTGCTTCAAGATCTAGGAGTCGCTAAAATAAAAATAGAATGGCCGTGAAGCATGGTGCCAGAGTTCAACAGAGGAAAACGACGCAGACTCTCGTTAGTCTTCGTTCGATCCGCCAAGACTAACGGAAAATATTTGAATATGCTGAGCTCTTATCGTCAAGTTTTCTGCATCGAGGCGTACCGCACGGAGGCTACGAAGGTGCCGAGGCAAAAGCAGACAAATTTATGACGAGCGATTTGCCCGGAGAAAGTTCCCCGTCTCTTGGCACGGCTATTCAGCTCGACCTTAATGGACGCGTTTTGAAGTAAACGAGCAAACAAACCCAAGAATGCATTTGTTCTCGCGAGCATCGCTGCTCGCCTTAAACCGACGACAATCGCGAGCGTCCAACGAGAACGCGTCGCTATAAATTTTCACGAAGGAGACGCAAGAAATGAAGATGCAGCGGGATTATGTGAAGACTCCGTAAGACGCTGCAGGACGTTACATGAGTTTATAAGATTCGGCGGAGTGTTCGTAACAATAGGAAAATAAGCTCCACGGAATTTCAGTGACATTGTAACAAGCTCGTGAGAAGTTTACGTAACTATGCAATGATTTAACTGTGCAAATTTGAGATGTAGAATACAAATAGATTCAGAGAGAACGCGTGCAACTCACTATCGAAATTCAAAAATATATACTCAAAAAATTTTTTAGATACCAAAAGTGTAATCGTTAAGTGCATCTTTGATATGTAATGAACACATAATGAAACACTTTAGCTCTATTATTTTCTTGTTCACATCTCTTGTTCACAATCATTTAACCTGACATCAAACTCTCATGCATTTCACGCGTTGTAATCTACGGATAAACATAGATTAGGTTAACCAGGAAATTGTGTCTGGCGTTGTAGACAGGTACTTCCTGCCTGAGCCTCGACGTCTCCCCTGATCTGTAATCGCATTGCCGACGTTTCCTATTAAGTTTATGGATTGTAACCTTCGTTTGATATCGACTTTATGTGAAATCCGTAGTATTTGGAACATTTCACTTTGCGAAATAGCTGGTAACCAATATTTTATTTACTTCATATACACTTCGCACTTTTTTCCCAGAGTTTTTACCATGAATCATATATTTCGAACTATATGTACGTGTCTGTGTCATTATATGCACCGCAATGTTCGTTTGATTAAATTTCATACCCACTGACGAAGCTCATCTCCTGTTTTTCGAGACGAGCACAAAATACTTGTTTACTTGCTGTACCGCTTTACAGAACTTCGCTTACTCTCCGGCAACGAGAGAGAGAGAGAGAGATCTCGAAGAGTAAATTGCGTTATACCTCGAGCCGCAGGCCTTATAAATACTTACGGCACAAGTTTAAGTAGAAGTCTTCATTTTTGCTGTATTTTCTTTTGCTCTATCAACCTCCGTTTGTGCCAATATTCTATATCAAGATAAGATTGAGTTTTCATAGATACGAAAAATCGCGCCGATGAAAGACCACTGAAATATAACGCGCAATAATAATTAACGTGTAATTAAAATTAAAATAACTTTTAATTAAATTTAGCTTAATTGGATCACGTAGTATATTGTAAATATTAAATGCACTATTAATTATCGAATATATTTAATATCAATTACAATTATTGTAATATCTAAAATAGAAATTTATTTTAATTTTTCGTTGAATTTTTAATAATTTGTAAATTTGCGTATTTCAGTAAAGCATAGAAATTTAGTAATAAATTCTAACGCGTCACGTATGCAGCCAATCTCAGCAATTGAATCTCTACGTAATCTGAAAACTTCCGTAATCATCTGCATCTATATCTAGATACGTTAAAAGCCAAAGTGAATTGAGACCAAAGTTTCTCTTCATGTCGGACCATATTACCCAGCCTTACTACTCACCGGAATTAGCCGTGAACTAAAGGCATTCGCGCTGAATTTCTCTCGTCTTTCGCGCCATATCTTTTTATTCCTCAACAAACGTAACGACATTTTGCATCCTGCCTGTAGGCCAAACTGTTCAAATCTCGATGAATGTACGCTTGGCTGGTTGTTCCGTTGCGGGGTGGTACGCGCGGGATTATGGGGGCGGAATAGTTAATTAAGTTTCTGATGGTCACGGGGGAGAAGCGGCCACCCGGTGAATCATGCCAGGTAGTAGAGTCAAGGGGCGGTTGGAGGCGAGGTGAACGGTATACCGGTGGCTTCTGCCAATGTGTTCTGCAGCAGGGGGATATACGAGATACGTGCGGCTCGTAATTACGATCTGCCACCTTCGCCGCTATCGGGTTTAACCATTGGTAAATAAAATCGACGATAGAGACGCGGACATCGCATGTCAGCGCTTTATACATCTGCCACTTATTATACGGTTTTATCTCTCGTCACCATTTTTTCCGAGTACAATTACCAAGTCCGCGCAAAAATCGCGCCGAGCGTTTCCAGCGTGGTTAAGCAACCGAAATGCGCATTCGGTAGCAAACAAACAATCGTGTCAACAAATAAAAGTATTATCGCCACACGTGCAATTATAAAAATTCAAATTGTTTCATACTACAATAATACAGCATATTATTTCTATTATTGCATTGTTCTTCTTTTTAACATTTTGTAAAATAAATTAACAAATTCAAATTATCTACAATTGCCAATTACGCAGCAGAATTCTATGTTGTTTTTTTTTGTGTGGAAAGTAAAAAGTCGTAGTCCCTTGCTCAGAATCTGAAAAATGTAAAAAAAAAGTCAGTGCGGTTAAATTAAATCACGGATAGAATCGCGCCGATTGGCTCTGCAGATTTCATAGCTAAACCCCGTCTACTTCTTAAACCGAATTAGAAGACTGGGCCCATGAATAAATTCAACGCCAAGGCTCGTACGAATTTAACAGTCGTCGCCTCGAATAATCTTTAATGAGGGAGCTTTCCAGACCAACCAGCACGGCATTGAGGCGACAAGTTCTCATTATTATTCTATTAGTACGCGCTGAGACGGTGCTAAGCGAGTCCAATTAAGTGCAATCGAGTATGCGTCATGCGCATCGGTATACATTGAATTGAATGTTTTCGCGGAATATTATGCGGAAGTCTCAAGAATATGATCGATGCAAAACTTGGCGCGCTATATTGACGACACTAGAATGCTCCGATATTGGAACATTGTGCATACAGGACGTTTGTAATTCAGATGTCTCGAGTATTGCTATTGACATTCATATCAGATGTAGTCGAATATGTATGTACCATACTCTTCCGTATAATGAGAGTAGAAAATTACTCATAACTTTCAACACGGAAATATATATTTATACTTTGTATGCAGAGAAGATCTCATATATATACTCTCTGCATAGCAAACATAGAAAAATCACAAATGAAAGAGAAAAATAAACAAATTTCACGATTTAATTCAATTCACGTTAAACTATGAAAATATAACATAATTTCGCAATAATATAATATAATTGTTGCACTGCACAATTGTAAAACAAGATAAACTCGATTTGCCGAGGTCGCTAAAAGCACCATAACACGCACTCAGTGATATTACTGACGATATTAATGGCCACTCTAATTGCATTCGGCACACGTGATAAGCTGAAGATAAGAGTGTCCGATCAGTCGGAGACTAAATCAGATTATCCATATCTCAAGTATTTCCAGTAAGTCGTTCACATCCGTGGTAGCCCCTTTGAGCTTAAGTAGCCATAACTCAGCCTGCAGACCATATCAGTCGGCAATATCCCAGTAATAAATTAAATCAACGAAGATAATCCAGATGGAGTCTGCTCTATACCCATAGGGTTGCTCGAGAGCCGATATCATAATGGACCATGTAACACCACCTACGCTTGGTATAACCTTCTACCAACTCCGCTTCTCTGTTCCCAATTCGCCAATGTATATCTTAAACATGCGTATGTACATACCGTGAATGTGAACGACTTGGAGAGAAGCATCGACCGGAATTACTTCTGGAGATTGCGAGATGGAAAAAATCCCTTTGCTCGGCATCTGAAAAAAATCAACATCAACATAACGCAATCAAATATCGAACGTTCAATGTCAATGAGTAATATAGATAAAATAATACAATTTACATTCTTGCTCTTTTCCGTATAATTTTTTTATATTTATCGGCCGTTACTTCTCTCCGTGAGAAAAGTTGTAAGAATGTGTTCTTATATCTACATTTTGTGCGCCAAAAAATTTATTTTACAATGCAAGATGTACGTTTTTCATTTTGCTCGCATAATATCGCAATGACAGTTAGCTGCGTTAAGATTGTCATCATCTCGATGCATATCCCTTTGTATTGCTCTTCAAGTACAATGGCGAAATAACTCATCTCAGGTTTACGGAACATCCATTTGTCCCATATTCCAGAGTACACGTTTGTCTTACCGGTGCTACGGGCAAACGTTTACAAGCGCATTTCCATCGGTCTCAACACGAGGCATGTATGACACAAGTCAAATGCGTCTATATGTCAGGCGACCATTTTTCTTGATAAATCGATGCACTCGTGTCATCTCCGTTCACGAGAGATAAAGGAGATAGAGAACGCGACATCGACTGTTGAGAAGTGAAGGAGTCACGAAGTGCGCCGGCATGCGCTCAAGTTATGCATGAAAATGGTTCTGAAAAGATCGGGAAGAAAAGCAAAAGACCCAACGACGTGCAAAAAGCTTTCACGAGAACACGAAAAATTATTATGACTTCGAGAATTATGAATCTCATTGCATCTCTCTGATTTCACGGAATATATAGAAAAGAATAATTTATTGAGGATCAAACGTTAATTATGGTGTATTTCTGAGAATCGAGAACCTTGATGGAATTGTACGGCTTACATTTTGTAATCGAAACCGCTTTATAGCAAAAAGGGGGAGGGGAAAGAAAAAGAGAGCGACGCGGGAGAAAGTTTCTCGTACGAGGACGAATTAAAAACTTCTTGGACGAAAGCGGGGTCGGAGATCGAGACGAGGGAGCGAAGACCCTTTTTACGCGAAATGAAACGAGATCTATATACGGCGGATGGAGAGCGGTTTCGCGAAAAAGTTTTTATTGGACGTAGTAGCGAGATACGGTACGGTAGTTATCTCCGGGGTACGCTGCCTTACGCTGGCTACCTTAGCTCCCTGACACGGTAATCGACATTCTTTTATTTATGAAGTAGTAGAAAGTCCAAATGGTTTTACACGCGTACAAGATTTGATTTACTATATTTTTAATTCGTCGCAAACACAGCGCTCGCACACCGAGATACGATAGAAACGTGTGTAACGCGCAAACATTGAATATAGTTGTTCAAATGCATTCATCCCAGTAGAAGAAATTGGTACTTCGTGTATAAGCGATTGCATTCACCTTTCAATCGCAGCCGTCATTAAGACTGCTCTCAGTAAAATGAGCGATGCTCGTGAATGAGAAAAAGAATCGCGATACCAAATCCAATTTTTTTTTTCAAGACGTCGGCACGTAGTACTTCTAGTACGCGCTAGGAGAGGCTTTTGATATAAAGGTACAATGCATAAAGACTGGGTAGAAGAAAGAAGGCGTGCGCCATTAAAATCGCATTCATTTGTTGAAGTCTCTGGAAATCTCTTTCCTTCCACTAAAAGCACAGTTATCGGGAAGCGGCATTATGCACACATGTGCACACAGATATACAAAAAAAAAATCAATCGATTATTGAAGCCTTTGCAAACGTATTAGAGACTTTATCAAAACATCGGATTACCTTTAACATCGTGCTTGAATACACAATTAAAATAAGTTCTAAGAAAGTTCTTTCCGGAAGCGCTAATTAAAGACCACTTGCAGAATAGTGACAATTTTATACAGCGAAACTCACGCAGACATAACGGCTACGTTTTAAATTATGTTTGTTATCTCGCACGCCAAATAATTGACACTAACTAAACTACAACTGCACAGTAAGAATACGTTGAGTTACACAGCCATCAAAGTATACGCTTTACGCTCCCGGAAAGAAGTATAATAGGTCTCTTTGGGATGTCGTGCAATTTCCCGATAGTAATATAATACGTCCAGGATGATTTTCGACTTCTCCCATGATTCCTCTGGCAACGCGGAACAAAGGCGGGGTCCGTCGGTATTGTTTGATGAATTACAAGGGAATAGAAACCGAGGGACATCTCCCACCGGTAATGTAACTCTACGACGATGCGTTTGAAGTACTTCGTAAGCCGTAGACCAATTACTGTCGCATGCACTGTATCCCATGCAAATCCCTTTTTCAGTAATAATAATCTAACGACAATAGATACTGCGGCTGTATGTGTATGCTTCAGTCTATTGTTCCGATCTAGTGGAAGTTTAATCGAAGAACTTATTGTTAGCAGCAATTCTGTTCTGTTCGAGTATACGAGATAATCGAATGTAAATATATTTATTTGAATAATAAATGCACTCACTGCTGCATTATGATTGTGCTTGTTTACTTAATAATACAGTAAATAAACTTCACTACATCTTGAGATCGTGCAAACTTTCAATAATTTTTGTAACATAAATAATTAAGAACATTATTGTACAAGCTCGGCAACACTAAATGCGCTACCTTCGCTTTACATAATTTATATGTAAAGGATTATCATTTTCTGATGTTGTTTTTAGTTCAAAGTGCAGCGTAGCACAATGTTTCACGTTGCATTATGTTGTGTTAATTTTCGAGGTTAATGCGGTATAATATAATCCCACTTACTGGCTGCATTTAAGACGCGTGCTTGGCGTGGCAAGAAATAAATATTTTATACAGAGAGAGAGAGAGAGAGAGAGAGAGAGAGAGAGAGAGAGAGAGAGAAGAAGAAGAGAAGAGAAGAGAAAGACAGAAAGCTTTTGCATTCAAATTAATCTAGTGCCTCTCAAAAGATTTTCATAATTACAAAATTTTTTAAAAATTTATCCATTCATTTGTGACCCTAATTAATTGCAGCTTTAATAATGTCGTTCGTTATAAATTTTCTACAATCGATTACTGAAATGTATACAATAATAAATTTATATAACGATTTTAATGATAAATTTAATATAATATTTTAATTAATGTTTTAATGTTTTTATTAATTAGACGTTCCTTTTTAATTTTGAAACAAATCGAGATCCTTATTATGAATGTATGAAATGTTCAAATCACAAGTTTAACGCTGAAATCTAAATGAAGTAAATTATTGTACATTAGTTACATAAAGCGTTAAACCGATACAATGCGTGTTTACAATTTCTAGAAATACAAACACACATCTATTTATCAAATATTCATCGCGCTACAAACAAGAACTCGGCGCAACGATAAACTGAAATATCCCGCTGGTAAATCGTTGCACGGCCATTTGCTAGGAAAACAATTTTTGTGTTCCAGCGTCCCACCGAAAATCTACAGCGCACGCCGGTCAGTAATTTTATTATGGTTCTAACACACGTTCTACTCTTGAACCGATGGTCCCCGGCAAATCCTGGCATTAACGTCGCGGAATAATCTTTTGAGCCATCCAGCACTTCCTGACCAACCGACTCTAATTTATCTGAGATTTACCTGACCGCGTACGTGGTCACTTTTTTTAATCCCGAACAAAACGTATGTGCTGACAACTCTCGTTAAATATTACATTAAAACTTTATTCAACAGAAAATTTTTTTTTTAATTTAACAAAATAATTTTAAAATAACAAATATATATTTTATACGCGAGTAAAAAATAAAAGCTATATTTAATTTATATTCGCTCTGTTCTGCGAAGAGAGAAATAACACGTGCTGTTATAACGAGATTTGTATTTCACGTATAAACACTTGCGCGCTCATTCTCAAACTGAGATTTATGTAAATAGCTAGCTCGACCGAAAATACCTGAACATCCGCACTTTCAGACAGGCTTGAAAATTCAGCACGCATTATTCAAATACCACGCGAAGGAGGGGCACTCAGGCGGACGAAGACGAAGAGGTGATCACGGCAAGTTAAGAGAAATTTGTCGGGAATGAGTCACGAAATAGCTGTCGGCTACAGTTACCGTCGCAATTTTCCCTGCGGCCGTGATAAAGTTTATCGAGCGTAATCGTGAAAGATTCATGAACGACTCGTTCGGCGGTCACCTGCTTATACTATGTACAAACATGACTTTCGATTTGCCGTCCGAAGCGGCGTGTCGACAACTCTGTTACGTTCGCATGCTTGTTCGGGAAATATTGCCACAGAGATGTTACCTCCAGTTGAGAGTCTGAATACCGCTGAATTCAGTTTTCAGGAACTTCATAATTTCTATTACCGCTCCGTGTCGAGCGAGGCGGCTTATCCCGTTACGCAAAAATTTCACGCATAAAAGTTTGCATAGTTGACGAAATCTCTTTCGCGTAGTTATCCTAGCGCACTTCCGGATGCACTTCCGGCGAACAGGAGAATTGTTATTCATACGATATAGAAAAGCGGTTCACGGTGGCGACGGCCCATGTATGTATATTCGCATCCGCACCTGGGTGCGGTTTTGTCTGTTGTGGAGAAAAAACGACGTGTACGAAGAAAAACTAGCGAAACGGAAGGCAAAGAAATTTTATTCGTTCCCGAAGCTACGCCAATCTCGATCGCAGCTCCTCGCAAGAGCGTGGCCGCCGTTCCTCGTGAATATATAAATTTCGTGTCTAGTGGAAATTGCGCCTCCGCTCCCGGAGTACCTTTCACCCATCTTTCTTGCTTCGGTATTTCGTCCTGAGCGTGACAAAAATGAATAAAGCGCACTTTGTGTCGTCGCGAACCGTTTCCAGCGTGTTCCAAGTGCACTGATTAAAATGACACGCCTCGTTAGGCCGTGTCAGTTTTTTCTCCACTCTGACCAGCATCTCCGTGGACGGAAACCAGATGATGGAAGAAGGGAAAAATGTCAAGTTATGCGTAGTGTATTAAATTGTTATGATTACTCAGCGTTACACAGCGACACTAGACTTTTTAATCATAGCTCATCAGCGAGAAGCAGAGCAGAGCGGAGTAAAAGTA